ATAATGTAAAAAATTTCTGGAACAAGATAATGTTCCCTACATAAGAGAGTAACAAGATTGTGGCTTCTACTCATAGACAAGAAGCATGAGAACAGTGAGCTTGGTTTCTCACTACTAGAACCCTCCTGCTTAAAACTTTTAATTAAAGGGTTCACTGCTGCAAAGAAGATGTCCCAGAACTCAGAGCCGAGATCACAATCCTCGTGCTTATCGAGAACAAGGGCAATAATCTTCAGACACAAAGACCTCAACTCTTTGAACTGCTTCGAAGATCTACAACCAGTCTACAAAAAAAATCCATAATTCTTTATCAGAAATGTCAAAGTGGGTCGGTTTTCCAGCCAAGGAAAAGAGGAAACTATAATAACACCCTGGTATCAGGAGAACTTTTTTTTTAGTTTTTTTTTTGAACCAAGTACAATGAAAGGGGAATAAATAAGCATCCGTAAGTTAAATTCAAAGAAAAAAAAACATCAATAACCAATACAGCTACCTGGTCATAATACAAGGTCGAGTTCTCTTTCTCATCTGAGGTTGGTAAGACATCAGTAGCATTTCTTGCAGTAGAGTTTACCAGTAGCCGGACCACACATCCCATCAAGAAATCCAGAAACGGACGAATGTGGAATTCATCAAAGACTTCAAGGGTATGTTGGATGACATGAAGAAAACCGAATTTCTTCTTCCAAGATAAGGATGATATGGATTCAACACTGAAATACTTCAGATATTTCGACATTTGGAAGTGATCCAAGTAACTATCAGGTGATGTCCAAAACAAGTCCATTGTTCCCTCTGACGTGATATTCAAAGGCTTTATCAACAATGCAAAGAAGATAGTGAGCTCGCAAACATCCAGCTGAGCTATAAAACAAAGAACCGCCTTCCGGTGATGAACACTCGTATGCTGACAAGAAAAAGACCACCAGAGTTTAGTACTCAAGTGAATGCTGGATTGACACAGTGAAAGTAAACCGAAAGGAACATGTATAACTACCTTCCGGGAAGCCAATGTTTTCAATTTTCTGACTTTCGGCATCAATATGCGAATTACAAGAGAAACAAGATGAACTCTGTGAGCTTCTTCAACACAGTTTGATTGTTTGGACAAGCTCCAAGTTGTGAGCTCCTCCCTCAGGTCTTTGGAACTAATCAAATTCTTTAAATTTTGATAATATGGGAGTACGAAGTCATCCTTCCACAGTGACAGGCATTCAAGCGCATTCATTTGAATTTCAGCATCATTATCATCCAGAAGCCTGGTAACAGATCCAAAAGAAGAGGACTTTTAGCTGTAAGAAACATCAAAGTAGGGAAGATTGTTAAATAATCCATTGTCTCACAGACCTATACTGCAGAACATCTTTTACAAATTGATTGGGGTGGAAGGCCCTTGGATTCCGCATCAACTTCAACAGAGATAACCACTCTTTAAGAGCTCCTTTCCACTCCTTTCCTTTGCAAGCCCCGCGATTAAATAACCCAACACTGGGAAATAGTGAACCAACAAATTTGAAATGGTAACAGTTAAATAAAGTAATTCCGAAAATAACTGTTCAATCTATGGGAGTCGGGTTATTTACTTGCTGGCACAAAATTTTCAGAAAAAAGAAACTATCTACAGGAAATATTTACCTCACCAAATCTTCTCTGTTGTATCCCAGAAACTCCAAAAACAAAGGGATTATATCCGACGACCGAGATTCAGCAACAAAAGGAACCTTTTGTAAGGTTCGGAGCAACAAAGATACAACTGTTGCACTTGGTGTACTATCTGATGGCCGATATAGAAAAGAACTGAAATGGACAACCAGATCTGTAGATCGAGAAGAATAACAAATGTACATCAGATTTTACGAAGAAACTATTAGCTGAATAAATATAGTAACAATATGGTAACAAACACATATCAGCCAGACTGAAACAGGTAAAACATGGAAAAGGTTTACTTGACATCTATAGAAATGAACCTGACGAGTTACTAAATGGATAGATCAAATATATCTGTCCTGAAGTAGCAAGTAACCTACCTGTACTCTTGTCTAACATGCTGTGGTTCTCATTCTCATTCAGGATAACGCGAGTTCCAAATTTCACTTGGCATTGGCCAAAATAACAAACCAACTCATCCCAAATGACTCCAGTATGCTTCTTCAAAAGAACTGCAAGACACTCCGATGTCTGATCCCATAGATAACTAAACCGATTATGAAATACTCCCATCATCCCATTAAATACAAGTGGCACATATGCCTCATGTATCCTGCCGGCAGAGAGATCCATCTGTATTGTAGCGATCAAATTGACTAGCTTCCGGCTGGTTGTAATCGTGAGAGGGGTCTCTTCAATTGAAAGTAATGACTGAAGAACCTGATATTACGAGGAAACTAGCAAAGGTTAGTCAAATACATGATAGAGCATATAGGTGATTGTAACATCACCAGTGCTGCTAGGAAGAGATCCAGACAGGTAATAAGAACAAAAGATTATTAGACCGCATAACAGCTTAAAAGGTTTAAATACTCACGCTGCTCTTAGGAAGAGATGCTTGAGTCTCTTCAGTTTTCATTTTCTTTTTTGGAGGTTGCTCATCAAAAGCAGGCTCAGAGCTCAGTCCTTCAAAATGGCACAAAATCCTTAGAGTCATAACACGGATGTCTTTGTTAGAATTGCGCAGATTTTCAGAGAGTATTTTAAATGCCTCCACAGCCTTCTCCGCCCGAAGCTCTACATGATATTCCTTACTCTGATTACCATTTGCTACCACAAGCCTATGAGTTAATAGCAGGAATATAATCAGTGAGGTGCTAAGAGCTATGAAAAATGGAGGAGAATAATTTGAATAACCACCAAAACAAACAAACTCACCCATCCAAATAGTCGGCGACAGCAGACAATACTTGTACACATGAGTTGTAATTTTTTGCAAAAGATAAAGCTTCACTGACATCAACACAATTGATTTTTCGAGATTTGTAGTATGAGCTCAAAGCAGCACCAAATAAGCTCTGCCATTTCATTTCATGGGCACTTGTGATGGTACCTGAAAAACATTTAGCATACAAATAAGTTACGAATAAGTTTCAAACATGCAACAGAATATATGATAACATTCTAGGACACAACGTAATTTCCATAGACATCAGTAATGTGGAACAAATATCAAAGAAGATAGACGAACAGAAGTAAATAATAATTAATCCAGATTGAGGAAGACCAAAGACCATGTGTTTCTGTGGCTATCTAGAAATGACACTGATTATTTAATTGAATTCCTTTGAAAACAAAAGAGCAAAAAAGAATTAATATGCAACCAACATGACGAGGTTTGCAGTTTGCACTGATACTCACCACCTGAGATAGGCAAATGTTCTCTGAGAGCATGCACAAGATTAACCAGTAAAGACGAATCCACTTTAAAATAATGGTAGGAGTTGATGACTCCCCAGAATGTAGCCAACTTGCCCTCATCAATTTGGGTGGACATGATATTCTCCTGCACTATATCTTGTACAGCCTGCTTCATATTATTTTCGAGGAACTCATGAATTTTCCCACATATTTTCTCATCTATCTCCGTAATGTAAGGAGTTGCTTCTTGTCGCTCAGCCAGTAACAGCAACAAATAAACAATCTCCTCAGAAGACTTGGAAGACTCCACCATATTGTTTATTGCACTGCAAAAACAAGACCAAGTTAGCTCCTAAAAGGTGGAGATGGACAAACTACAATATCAAGGCAACACAGAAAGGAGTTAAACCATGAGTCTTGCCTTAATATATTAGTAGTGAAGGCCTTGACAATGAGATGGTCCTTTTGCAGCAACTCCCGTATAAAAGTCAGCACACTGAAACCAAGTATGAACGACATATAAGAAATGAACAAGTTTGAAACTGTAAAAACAGATATAGGATAGACAATACCTTGAACTCTTAAAAGCAAATACAGGAGACCATTGCATCGCAACATTATCCACTTCACTGGGCAACTGAAGACTGTCAATGATGCCTAACATCAGCTGCAGAACCTCATCTATGAGGTCAGATAAATTATCATTTTCCACCATCCTCTTAGAAGCTTCGATTATAGTTGGCATGAGGCAGCTCACAAGTTTCATTGCCTGGTTATCTGTTTTACATTAACAATGACTTCAATTGCCAGTTCAAAAAATACAAATATATGTTGCAATGTGCAGAAAAAGGAAAACCAAGATCTAATCTAATAACTGAAGTAATTAATAGGCTCACCAGACGTTTTGCGACCTTTATTAATCCGAACAACTGAAGTAAGCACTGCCAACAATCGGCTCAAATGAATAAAATTCTTGATCTCAGCTGATTCGTTTATCTCTGAATACAAGCACTTCCACATTATGTTTAATTCACTAGCTTCAAAATCCTCACATAATCTTTGTAAGGTAGAACTCACAACTTCCACCGCTGTTCTAGAACCTGCAAAAATGCAAGAGAATCAACCGTGATATAAGGACAAGGGAAGAGACCATCCAAGATGAAAAAATATTTCCAGGTACAGATTTAATCTCCCTTATTATTGCAGAACAATTTGGAGAACCAAAAATGAACATCAAATTTGTATGAACATATGCTCTCTCTCTCAAGAAAGAGAACTCACCTTTATCAAATTTATCACAGAAAGAAAATGTTGAATCTTTTAGTAAGAACCTCAACGCCCTCCCAACTTTTGAATGGAGATTTGTTGAAGTACCCCTCATAACATAATATAGCAAAGCAACTCCTCCAGACTTTCTCAGTGGATTAGCAACTTCGGACAGGATTCTCCTGATCCCTATCTCGTTAAAGAGAGAATAATCAACTGGACAGTCAACAAAAGAGTCATGCAATTCAAGTTTAAAGACAAAAGAAGGTACAAGCAATTTATCACCTTTCTCATGTTGTTCATCCCCTGCATTCCTCAACAGAAAAGAAATTGACTCTGACATGAATTCCTTGATATATTCCTTGGGATAATACCTCAATTCTAGTGTATCCCTTCAACAAACGAAATGAAAATAGGAGAGTAATAAAGCCACATGATTAGACATGGATATGTTTAAAGTTAAAAAGTTATATTTAATCATGCAATGTGCATCTGCAGGTAACAAAATCCTTCATGTTCTACAAGACAAAATAAAACAGGAAAAATAAAATAAAAAGAAAGGACAGATTTCTTAACACAGAGGATGGATGTCTGAGCATATGTACCAGATCTTCCATAACAGAAAATCAAGCCAACAAATGACACAAACAGTAAACAGGTTATCATTTGACCACAACATGCCTCAGCAGTGCTTTAAAGAGGACAAAAAAGAAAAGCAATAAGATATTTTTGCCAAGATTAGTGTTCAGAGAGCTACCTGAGGAGACCTTCAATATTGCATATGAGATACTTCTGCAGATACATCATAATATAAGACCAGGACGTGAATATCTGCATGCAAAAGGGCCAAATATTTTTAATTTTGTATCAGGAAGAACCCAATGGTTATCACTATCTTCTCGTGAATAACAGTTATAACCTGTTCAACAATCTCTGGCTCTTTCTCACCACCACTTTCAAGGAGAGACACCAAGGACTTAACAATTCTGGGAAGGAAGCTACAGAAGAGAAATACAAAATAAGTTAGCAAGCAAATACAACACACATGAGAAATTGTTAAGAGAAATCGCATGCAAAGTTTAAATACTGGAAAACAATTTCACAATCTGCCCAAATATCCATGGAAAATAAATAAAAGAACATTGTAACAATCTGTGCCCTAAAGTATACATGTGAGCAACAGAAATCACAGAATAAATCAATAACTAGTTCTAGCCATATGATTATATAAGCAAAAGGAGAAGGGGAAGAGGACAAATCATTTCTCGGATAAATGTAATGTGCAGAAACTAGTACAGAACTTGAATTGACCAGAAAACGAGTATGTTTGTCAAATACTATACACCAGATCTTCCAAATTATAGGATATTTTGCAATGTAGACTTCTCGAAACAATTCATCAATTTTATCCAAAACAAATTCCTGAGGAAAAATCATATCTGGGGACTGCCACGTTTTTAAGTTATCCTAGACATGATACGAAGTTTCCTCTGTCTATAGAAGACGTAGCAGCATTGACAGAAACTAACAAATCTAATCCAGAAACAAATATGCAGAGACGGCTTCTGAAATCTCAGAAGAAAAATTGAAGGGAAACTGTTGCAGTAACAGATGAGAAGAACTCACGGCAGGAAGTCGTCTAAGAGGTCTCTCGATAAAACAGCAATCAACCTGCAAAGATAATAAGAAATTCCCCTTTATACTCCTATACAGAAGAAAATAATTGAAATGCATGCTCTAGGAAACCATAAAAATGATATAATAATCTTAAATCTTTGGACAAAATTACATATTTAATCATCTTGATCTAGACGTGATAGTATTGCACATATAAACAAATTAAAAAATGATAGTTAAGTTATGTGGTTAAGAAAGATTAAATTTCTGCAGCTAGAACAAATATCTAAAGCAGACCTAAATTGTTACCCTGACTAAGGACAGGATTCAATCATCACAGCGATAAGAAAACCAATTCAATTGAACCACATCGTAGATCCACAAGCAGATCAACTGTGGAATAAAAGGCAGAAAATAGTAAACCTGAGAATAGGCTCAAGAGATAATCTTGATTTCAACTGTAATCTAGATTCAAGTTCTGAGAAGATCAATTCTTTATGCAAAAGAACCAAGGGCAAAGTCTGAACAAATGGAAATATTTCCTCATAAAATGAAATGAAGTCCTCCGCTGTATTCAGTTCCTGCAATCAACCAATCAAATGAAACCATATTTAATAACTCCACTGTGATATATATGACGTATAACTTGTCTAGTATCGAGAAGTTTTTTTAGATATATGCAACAGCTCTACTGCTTCATCATACCCACTAGATCTACCCCATTCGGACATCAATAATAATTGTGTGAAGAAAAAGTTACTTCTGTTCCCATGATAAATGTAACACATGAAACTACAGAGAAAACTCAGTATCAACAATTTTTGTATAGCAAAAGAAAATTAGGAAGATAGTGAGTCATTCTTCAGAGAATACCCTCCTAACAACTAAATCCTTGAACTTGTTAAAATATCAAAGACTGGAAGGAAAGCCTCGAGAAATTCCACTCCCAGAACTTCTACGCTTCTAGCAGATGATGATGCAAAACTAATACTACACACATAATCTTCCTAAAAACTAAGCTTGATTTAGCATAGTGTCTCAACCCGAAACAAAATAATGTCGGGCATGACATAACTGCAGGAAGATAACATTTAAGGCTTTAGAAAGAGCTCTAGGGAGCAAAATCAAATACCCTCCATTCTACGAGGCTATCCTTGAAAAATGAAGATCCCTCTGAAGGCTCAGCCTTGACTTTATCCAAGCTCCGAAAGACATTGGTAACGATATCAATCTCACCAATTCTATCCGAGAAGGTCTTGAACTGCAGACAGAAACGATTAACCATCAACAGCCAAATTAGAGGACATGGAAAATAAATAATCGCAAGTGTAAAAGGGTGAAACAAGTGATACTATGACATAAGATGGAGAATAATGTATCAACTAGAAAGCCGTTAACACAGGTTCAGACGAAAAAAAATATCAGCTTAAGCTTCTACCATCCCGCTCAATTGGAAAATAACAAGAAACCCCCCTTTTATTACCCAAACAACAAAAGGGTGCATAATTCAAGTTTTTTCATGAAATCGTAGTTTACAATATATACCAAACGGTTGCCACCAGGTACAAAATCAGACGGTGAAATCGATTATGAAATTATCCGGCAAAGCGGGGGTAAAAAAGCAAACCAGCTCCTGAGGAAGAAAATCAATTCAATTTGGGTTCACAGTTTTAGCAACTAAATCACAAATTACTTCCATGACTTGGGCACAAAATCACAAATTCTAGGTCTCTTCACGAAAATCAATTCAATTCAGTTTGGGTTCCACCCTTTTGCCCACGAGCACTGAGCCTAAAGGTCCAGACTTTCACAAGCCGAGCTCGAACTCTTTTCAGAAAAGCTATTTCCACCCGAAACAGTAAGTCATGATTCAAAAACAACAACCAACCAGAAAGAGAATACGCACCGAAAATCTTTTACGACCCCCGGAACTGTTGAGCGATTTCACTGCCATCGCGTGTGCCGAAGTCGCCATGGAAAAACCCTAATTCCAGCAGAGATAGGTGAGACCCAATTAGAATGACAAGAGACGGATTGAGAAGAGGGACAGAAATATGGAACTCGGCAGAACCCTAAGGAATCAATGAAAGAAAGAAAGGGAGCGATGCCGAATTTGCCGGCAAAAGGGTTTTAGAAGGAAGAAGTCTCAGTGGGTTTAAGCGAAGAAGAGAGAAGGGTGTCCTTAATCAATAATCATAAACCTAATATATATATATATATATATATTTTTTTTTTGTTGAATCATAAACCTAATAGGCTAATATTTCTAAGGACAAAAATAATTTATCTTATTTTCCATAAACAAATTCAGATAAATAAATTAAATATAACACAACTCGAATCTAAACCAATAACCAAATTAATTTAGCTTATTTTTTAACCAAATTAATCTAAAAAATATTATTTGATAAATAAATCAAATGTGATAGAGATTTAAATATAACCCAAATCAAATTAACTCTACATTCAAATTCAATTTGTCTGATTTTTTCAATTAAATTAATCCAACCAAACATTTATTAGAACTTAAATTTAAACCAAATGAAGTTAATTTTATAACCAAATCCATTCCTCTGTTTTTGAGCTAATTAATCCAAACCACATATTATATAATAAATAAATAGAATCTAATAGAACTTAAATCTAAAGTTAAATTGCCTTCAATTGTGTTAGAATTCACATCATAAATTAGACTAAAAACAATCTAGTCTGGCTTTGACTAAATTATATTTCAGTTCACATCGCATCACATCTTAAAATCAATTTAAAATTATCGAACTTGGCCTTTTAATTTGGTTTAATTTGTGATAAACTTATTTCTAAATAAACAAAAATCTTTAATTGTGAATTGTTCATCCTAAAATTAATCATGATGTATATTAAGGCATTATATATGTATAATAAATTTCTAGGATATGAACTTTTGATACTTAAATATAACTATATATAAACATATTTTTGGGTCAAAATAGAAAAAATAAACATGTTCTCTCAGCTAATAGTCTAATGATTTATATACCTATAAATAATTGACTTAACGAAATATAAATTACATTAACCAAGTTGTTTAGATTTTTATACAAATTGTATTTTAAAATATATAAATTTCTACAAACAAAATTCGTCATGGTTTAAAAATAAACCAAAGTGATTAAAAAAAGTTGATTGATAATTTCGAAATTTTGTAAGAAAATAATGAAATTTTGAATCATATTATCATAATAGCTTGAAAAACACTCCCACAAACTTTAGATTCTTTTAGCTATTTTTTCAGTAAAAAACTCCAACTTTTTTGAAGAAAGCAATGTCTCAATACTAAGATCTAAAAATACCAAAACTTTCAATTAAAAAAAAAAGGTTAAATTTCATGGTTTCAAAATATTTAACTTTGAACAAAAACACGGTTGGTGTGTAATAATAATGATATGTAACTTATCAAAAAATAATAATAAATATGCACTAAACAAATAATAATAATAATAATGATGATGATGATGATATGCACTAAACAAATAAAAGCATAAGCGTGTGATTTCATGTGTAAATCGGAATGAATGTGTAATTGCATGCATGCATGCATGCATGAGTTGTATTGATGAACGCTGTTTCGCTCTTCGATGCGTTTGCTTTCGCCAAAACTCCGCCGGATTCGGACAATGTTTAAAATGGAAATTTCGCCACACTGTCTTTTTAGTTTCCTTTTATTCTCTCTCTCTCTCGTTTTCCCCCGACTCAATTCGATTCCGACATCCAAAAAAAACCCTAATTTCGTGAGACGATTTCAACAGAAGAAATCATCGTCGTTCATGGTGTCTTAAGGCACATCATCATCATCATCTTGTTTTTGGGTGAATACGTGGAAATTGAACGGCAGAGGGAAAAGGGTAGGATACGAATCACCAATATGCCTTGCTGAATATTCTAATGCAGGGCACGTTCTTGCTCGTTGTTTTTTTATTCAAATTTTTATTTTTTTTTGTTTATTGCTTCAAATTATTGTTTTTGTGATTTCAATTTGAAATCTGGAACCGTCGATTTTGTAACAATTCGTGAATTACGAAACCATTAATGAGTCCTTAAGTCGTCGCCTTCTTTACATCTGTCTGAAGTTTGCGTTTACTTGAGATATCTTATCTGTTGAGAATTTAATTGGGGAAGGTAACGTATAAGAAGATAGTTTAGATTTCAATCCTTTTCATTCATGTGATGGGTTAATCTCTTCGTACGTTAAAAGTTTGCTTTTTTGGGAGAACCCATCTCAAAATTTCTTCTGGACGAACGTTGTTTCTTGCGATTCTTTCTTCGAGGTATCGATTTGATGCCTAAAGCTGGGATCTTTATGATCTTTTCCCTCGAAAGATCGTTCCTTTGATGAACATGGCACTGTTGTTTTGTCTCTGGGCTCTCTGTTTCATAGCTTTTGTTCGGTTTCGTGACTTAGTAATCTTGTTGGATTCTTTTGGGGTTCTGTCTTTGAATTTGCATCCGATGATTAACCTGGTTGTGATCATGTCTCGGATTTCTGTTTCGGATGCAGGGGGAGATTGAGATTTGAGGGTTCCATCTTGTTTCTTGATTCATCTTTGTTATATATATTACATATATAACTAAGATGGAGCAGATGTCAGCTGATAATATACACGGAGTCATTCTAGCGGTGTCTTCGAGTATATTCATCGGCTCAAGCTTCATCGTCAAGAAAAAGGGCCTTAAGAAAGCGGGCCTAAGCGGAGTCCGAGCAGGTTTTCAGATGGATCGAGCTCTTATCGCCTTCTTTCTCGATCTAATCTTCTACATATTATCCATCTCTGGTTGAAGTTGAAGATAGGGATTTGGCTTTTTGCCCATTAACGCCTCTGATTTCTGCTTTTCCTTTGTTGTGAACTGGTCAGGCGAGGGAGGGTATGGATATTTGTATCAACCTTGGTGGTGGGCTGGAATGATAACAAGTAAAGTTTCGACATTTCGGGTTTTTATAGTATCAGTAAGTTTCCTCTTTGAGACTAGTCTCGGAAAATCTGTAACGGAATTCCCGTTTCCTTCTCCTTTTTACAGTGATTTTCGGGGAAATCGCCAATTTTGCAGCGTATGCATTCGCACCGGCTATTCTGGTAACACCTTTGGGAGCTCTAAGCATTATTTTCAGGTATCAGAATCCACCATATCCGTTTTCCGGTGATATTCTCCCACAACAAAGATGATAGTTTCTGAAAACAAAATCGCGTTTTTATGCAGCGCAGTGCTTGCACATTTCATTCTGCACGAGAAATTGCATATGTTTGGCATTCTCGGATGCATCCTATGCGTCGTCGGGTCTACAACTATTGTTTTACACGCTCCCCACGAGAAAAATATCGAATCGGTTAAGGAAATATGGCATCTTGCTACCGAACCAGGTAACTTTCCTGCAGTATAGCTATGGTTTTAAAACAGAGTTATATATTCTAATGGTCTGAAACCCCTAAGTCCTGTCTCTGAAATGTTTCTCGGGTCTTTCTTACTTGATCAGGTTTCCTTGTCTATTCGGCTGTGGTCTTGTTCGTGGTTCTTGTACTGATCTTTTACTACGAGCCACGCTACGGCCAGACACATTTGATAGTATACGTCGGAATTTGCTCTTTGATGGGCTCTCTCACTGTAAGTTTAAATCTTTCCGAGCGCTCTGTCTGTATTCTCTTTTCTCGCGGCTTCTCCCCTCGGTTTAAGGACTTGTTGTTTTTTCCCGTGCGTAGGTTATGAGTGTGAAAGCCGTGGCGATCGCCATAAAGCTTACATTTTCAGGGATGAACCAGTTTATGTACTTCCACGCTTGGATCTTTATCATAGTAGTGACCATTTGCTGCATTTTGCAAATCAACTACTTGAACAAGGTAACTAAACAACTCTTACTTGGTAATATAGTTTCGATAACCATAATCTGAAAAGGCGGTAACTTGAAGAGTTCCGGACTTGCCCACATGCTCGTTTGTTCTTGATGGATTTGTGAATAACGATACAGTATGTATCGTTTACATTCGAGATCACGAGAAAACGTAGTTTTTTACTCGGGATCATCTTTGCATCGCCTCTTACAAGATTTTAGTCTCTGTTCTGACATTATCATGTGAAGGATTTGGTCTGGTTATAGAATCTGTGTTTCTTGTCACTGGTTGACATGTCTGCAGCTTTTGTGAAGGAAGATATGTAATGAAGAACCTCTGCTCTGTTTTCTTTACAACAGGCGCTGGATACTTTCAACACGGCCGTGATTTCTCCGGTTTATTACGTCATGTTTACGACTTTCACCATCATAGCTAGTATGATCATGTTCAAGGTAAAAAAAAAAAAAAAAAACTTTTTTTTTCGGTCAAGAACTTGTGATCTTTCTGATGATTCCTTCTGGTAAACTGAAACATGTCTCTGCGCTTTTTGTCTGGATCTCACATGAAACAGGACTGGGCTTCCCAGAGCGGTTTACAAATCGCGACTGAGCTCTGCGGTTTCGTGACCATTCTGTCGGGAACGTTCCTTCTCCACAAAACCAAAGACATGGGAAACAGCGGTAGCGGACGCGGCGTTTTCCACACGCCGAGGGAGACTCCTGTCTTCACAAACAGCGGTTCCAGTCGCAGTTCCAGCTCAGATCGCTAGAACCCGTTTCTTGCTCGGATTCATCTGGAGGCCAACGCTGTTACTGTCTGAAAGATCCAATTTTGCCCAGATCCCCTTCTGGAATGCTAACGTGATACGCAAGAAATCTTATGATGATGAGCTTTTTAAGGGTTCTTTTTCGGGTGAGAGGATGGATATATGATCTATATTAGGGAGAGAGAGAGAGATTGATTGAATTGATTTCTTTTTTGTTTTCGTTTCTGTTCATGTAATTTTACAGATCATTCAAAGGAAAGCAGAGTTTTAAAACACAGAAATTAGATTCACGTAGACATATGTAGGGGCAAGCTTCGTTTCGGTTCCGAGTAACCATACCGAAACGAAAATCTCGTTATTTTTTTCGAATTCAAAATTCTCGAACGGTATATTTTTTTTAGAATCGAAACCTATTTTTATAAAATTCCCCAAAAAAACAATTTTTTTAAGAAAACCAAAATTTGTTTAACAAAAAACGAAACCGAACCATATCGAGACCGGAGTCAAATAATATAGGTACTAATTTGGTACAAATTTTAGAATACCGAATAAACCATTCACAAACCGAACCGTTAAAATTTCGAACCGAATCCCGAAACATCTCCACCTAATTTATATGTATACGGCATTTCTTCACCATATTGTCAATTTGTAATCTAATAAAAGCAAGAACATTGAGAGTAATATGTAATGTTAGGACAGATTTGGCGATACAAGTGTCTTGACGTACACTACGGAATTACAACAACTGGTTAACTTGCTAGCCAAAGGATACGTAAAAGCCCCATTGTTACGGTTATACAGAGCTAAACCCGATCTAAACTCCAATAAAACTTCACATTCACGTTCAGTCGAAATCCACAGTGGCCGTATGTACTCGGTTAAACCGGGAATGCTTACCAGTTTCATCCATGACTCTCCTTCTCCAAACTCCTTGGTCACCCAGACATCTGCGTTTGATCCATTGCAGTAACACACCATTGAAAGGCAACCTCTATATTCTCCGAGGGTTAGAGTGAAGCAGCCTTTTGTACAACACACAGGTCGAGACAGTTCTCTGAATGTATCGTTGGTTAGATCGTAAGATACGATGGTTGACGAATGAGCCGATGCCCAGTTCAGTGTCCCTTTGATGTGGATCCCGGGTTTCGATTTCTCAAGAACAACCCCAGAAGGAAAACAACATTCCCTTGTGCTTCTCCTCATCCAATGTCTGAATTTCACTGAGTATACGATCGCTTCTGTCTTCTTGATTTCGTGTCTTGGCTGCAGCAGCGTTACCACTTTGAAGTCACCGTTGCAATGATCATAACCAAACCCGTATGTTACATGGTCACCTTGTCTGGTTTCAAGATCTGAACTTGGCAATCTCACATGAAGTTTCAACACGGGGTTCCACAAGTAGAGGCTATCATCCGTGCGAAAACAAATCAACCCGTGACAGGTACCAACAATGTGATAGTATTCCCTTCCCAAGAGTTCATGATCATGCACTGCAACATCGACAATGGAGTCGTTATATAGAGAATGGACACAACAGGAGTTGAGATGGTACCGAGATGTTGTCATAACTCCATATTGCTGCTCTAAGCAACGGATGTTCTTAGCAATGCCGACGAAAGCTCCATCTGCCTTCACGGCCTCCCAAATCCAGGCATGTCTGAGAACGAAACGAGGTTCAGAGATCAACGATCTCCATGACCTGCATACGCATTTGAACCGCGTTAATGACTTGATCGGTAATCGTATGAGGATCTCTTCCATTACTTCGAGAGGAAGAACGGGCAGAGATGAAAATGATGCATCGTAGTTTTCATGCTTGATGGTTTCTCCCATCGCTGTAAAGCTACCTCCTCTGCCGGAGCGTGAGGTTCACGCTCCGACAGAACAAGTTTTTTTTTCCCAGGAGTTCAGCTACAAAAGAACATGGAAACAGAGGTGGAGAAAAACTTAAGGAGTTTAGCTGTTAAATATAGACAACTATCAGAAACTAATAGCTTTATATAAAAGGAGAAGATTATATTTTCTTTTTCGTGTTATATATATATATACAAGTGGGGTTGGGGAAAAAGATGAGATGAGATGCAATGCATGATGATAATGAAAAATATTAAAGAGCATTGCATGAATCTCCAATGCAGCACGCTCTTCAGAGAATGGCAATACATGAAGTAAAGGTGTTGACATTCATTGGATTCGGATGAGATAAGGCTAAGGATAAGGCGAGGAAGTCATAAAATATTGAAATCTTTTGGAGCAACTTGAGCTTTGGTGTTTCTCTGTCATCTTTAATCTCTAGGCAGATGGATATAAGTACATATATATATATATATAAAATGGAGAACACGAAGCAAAAAAAAAAAAAAAAAAATGAATCTTCGACGCGCAATGAATCAACAACAGAGTACTCGTCAACAATCTGATGCACTTTCGTATGAGAAATTAGAACCCAGAAATTAGATTCCCAAATCCGAGATAACATGGAATTTCATCGAGCTGATATGCATGTCATGCTGAATTCCTTGCACAAACACCAGGCCTAAATCAATCTACAGAAGAACAAAAGCTGGAAAGCAAAATCTCGGACCATGCTGTCGGAATTCGACACAGAAGATTCTTGACATTCGTCGCCGCTACTTATGTGGAGGAACTCCAGCTCTCTCATCTGGACAAATAAATCATCATCCGACGCGAAAATCGAGGATTGCGTAAATGAAAGAGAGACGTGAAACAAAGATAGAACCTTCGAATCTCGTGGAGATCCATAGAAGCTTCGAAGGGATCTTCCATGGCAGAATCTTCTCCTTGGGATGAGTTCTCGCACTACAGTGTTGAAGTGACGGACTAAAACTGTGAACTTTTGGAAGACCGATGTGATTTCAAATGAGAAAGGCAAAGGGGAAAAAACTTCAAACCGACCCCCCAAATGTAGTTTCCTTTCACTTTCAACCTCTGATCTTCGGAGTCAATCAGACCCTAAATTAGAGCCCCCGCTTAACCGGCCCTCAACCGGTTATCTTCGGTTTGGACTAAACTGGAACTGTATGAGCTCATATGGGTAACCGACCACTTGGGTTTCCGTCCACTTTGCCAAAAACCCTCGCTGATTCGTCCATTGCATCTGTCTCTCTCTCTCTCTCTTTCTGCAAATCCGGCGAGAACCCTAATCGAGGCAAGTTTTCTGCGCTGGTCGTGTTCTATTTTGCTGTCAATGGCGGAAGAAACGAGCGCGGCCAAGTTGCCCATCCCGGGCAAAAGAAACATACTCATCACAAGCGCTTTGCCTTACGTGAACAATGTTCCTCATCTCGGCAACATCATCGGATGTAATCGAATAAGACCTTGAACTCTTTCTTCCCTTCCATTTCTGTAGATAATGAATCTGCTATATATGTATGCATGTCTCTGTTTCTCAGTGTCCGTATCTCTGTATGGTTTTCATTTTTCTCATCTTTTGCAAACCGTGTATCCCTCCTTTTTTTATTTGTTTATTTGGGTGTTTTTGTTCTGGATTTCTTATTTTCTGGGTCCTCTCTGACTTTGTTGCATCGGATCTTCTTTCCAACTTCAAGCTTCTCCATTGCTGTTGGCATTTTTCTTCCATTTCTTTCTATGAAAGACATTATTTCTTCTGTTCAGATACTGATATGAAAAATGGTAAAATTTCAATTAAATTGAGTTGCCGTCCATCTAAGCTGGTGTAAATATCGAATTTTACTGATAAATGGATTGAAGAATATAGATGGTGCAATTAGTATAAACTGAATGAACTGTGAACTACATGAAAGGATGCAGCTTCAAGCAAGTAACGGCAGCTTTGAACAGTTGTATTACATGTGATTTTAAAGAGAGGAAAGGACAATTCTTGATTCAATTTTGGAGGATTTCCTTATTGTATCATTAGGTGTTTGGTGTGTTATTGTGCTTGTTGTGGTGGGTATTTTGAGCTTTCAAGCTTTGGGGCTCACTCAATATCTTGGGGGGATTTTGACAGGTGTTCTAAGTGCTGATGTATATGCTAGATATTGCCGCCTTCGTGGCTATAATGCCATATACATATGCGGGACGGATGAATATGGGACCGCGACAGAGACCAAAGCTTTGGAGGAGAATTGCAGCCCAAAGGAGATATGTGACAAGTAATGCATCACTAGTTTCCTCTTTTTTCTTGTTTTGTAAAGGAAATCATTTCATGTGCATTTCTAGTTTAGTGATCTCTATTCAAAATCATCCTTTGACCAAGCTTAGAATCATTTGAATTGTAGATGCTATGTTTTCATTCTGCTTTGATTCCATAATTAAAGTGTATGCAGTTTTCTTGGTATCTGTTTTTGTCTATTGAGGGAAAGATATGTCTGTAATCTGTCATAACCATCACACACAAGTTTTACAGGTTTCCGGAAATAGTTTGGAAAGTACTCTCTTCATATTAGTTTGCTAGAGGGCTTGGCTATTAGAAATTCATGATACATCAATCATTTTTTATGGTATGCGGTTTAGCTGAATTGAAAGAAAAAAACAGATTTATATGGAACGGTTGGAAGCATCACACAGAAGTTTTACAGACTTCTTGGAAGTGTTCTGAAAATGACTTTTCAGAGTAGCTCGCTGAGGTGCTTGTCAGTTGCCAAGCATGGACTCCAACCATTATTGATATGACCATGTTTTATTGTTTGCATATTCTTAGGTACCATGCCATTCATAAAGAAGTTTACGAGTGGTTCGATATACTTTTTGACAAATTTGGGCGAACTTCAACTCCCCAACAGACAGAAGTTTGCCAGGCAATTTTCAAGAAATTGTTGGAGAACAACTGGTTATCGGAGAACACCATGCAACAGGTGAAATAATCACTATTTGAATCAATTAGTCCAATTTGATTGTAGGAGTATGTGTTTTTACCTTAAGTGATGGGTTCTACAGTACTTAGTGGACTTCATAAGTTTGTCTTTGTGGTTGCCGGCCTTTTCAGCTTTACTGCGAGACATGCAAGAAGTTCTTAGCTGACCGGCTCGTTGAGGGTACCTGTCCATTTGAAGGCTGCAATGATGGTTCTGCCAGGGGAGATCAGTGTGACACTTGTGGAAAGCTCCTGAATCCTACTGAATTAAAAGATCCCAAATGCAAGGTATAGTATACTTTTACGTACAAAATCCTGTACCCCCAGTAATGGACATTTCTTTGTGTGTTTTTGTGTTGTATTTTATTATTTAAAACATGGACTGCAGTGCAGTGTCATGAAAATTGTCCTGACAATTGAATTCTTCTGTAGATAGATAGAAGCTGTAATTCATAATAGTGCCCATTCCGTTTTTCGTTCATTTGTTTCCTGATTGCATTTCAATTTTCCTCCTATCTTATTTCCTGGAATATAGGACAGATGAATTCTCTGATTACATTGATGTTTGGGCCTCCTATATAGGTTGAGGAATGTTGGTTTAATCTTTTTCTCCAATTCTTGTGTTTTATTCTCAAACAGGTCTGCCGAGCCACTCCACATATCCGTGATACAGACCACCTGTTTCTTGAGCTTCCTTTACTGAAAGATAAATTGGAAGAGTATATCAACAAAACATCTGTTGCTGGATCATGGAGTCAAAATGCTATTCAAATAACAAATTCATGGCTAAAGGAAGGACTGAAGCAGAGATGCATTACACGGGACCTAAAATGGGGTGTTCCTGTTCCACTTGAAAAATATAAAGACAAGGTGAGATAATTGTGTGTGTGTGTGTTAAACATCAATATTCTCTTAAGTTTTGTTTTTCTTTAGCATCCCCATTTCCATTTCTTCACGATTGCTTATGATTTATGAACTCTAATTTTAAGTTTCGTTACAGGTCTTTTACGTTTGGTTTGATGCTCCTATCGGATATGTTTCAATAACATCATGCTACACATCTGAATGGGAGAAGTGGTGGAAGAATCCTGAGAATGTGGAGCTCTATCAATTTATGGGTAAAGACAATGTGCCATTTCACACTGTAAGTACAGTACATTGCAGCATTTTATTTATTGTGAAAAACTTTGTTCCATAGGTTTGTTTCTTTCCTTCATCTTTACTTCCATCTCTGAAATGAACTACAATATCCGTTCTTAATCCGTTGACAGTTATCCGATATTCCAGTTTGTAATTGTTCTTCCATTAATATATTGGAACTCTTGCCACCTTACATTTGTCTAATGTTATATTAGTGATATCCTTGGCATGTCAAGGCATAGTAGCATGTCCTACAATATATTTTTTTAGGACTTCTTGGCATCATGTCAATCGTTATAGCTTACTCGCACAAATGTCAAGTTGTTTCATAGAGGTTTTATTCCTAGAATAGGCTTCTCCTACCATACCCCTGTGGTGAAACATACCACATGCAGACACTGTTCTGCTGATCTTGCATCAGCTAGAATTGCATGAGATTTTCTTGTTATACCTTCAGGTTCCATCAACCGTGCTATTCAGTGAAAAGCATAGAATAAAGTATTATGATGATAATTCTTTGATGTTTGCTGCCCTTGGTGATTTATTGTGTGATGCTGATATCCCAAGCTATCCTGTTGTCTGTTTTATCTTCCAAAGCTTTTCTCAAGATTTATGAGAAAGATTTCTTCTTTTCCCAAGCTGATTTAATGCTATATGCTTTATTTGCAGGTGATGTTTCCTTCTACGCAGCTGGGAACTGGGGAAAATTGGACACTGATGAAGACTATCAGTGTTACCGAATATCTGAATTATGAAGCTGGTTAGTTGATCTTTCATACGATTTATGTAGGAAATAGATGAACAATTTATTTTATGTGGGGCATTTTTTATTCTTTTTCCGCGATGCGTATAAGGGACTTATTTCTGTGATTTTGCAGGAAAATTCTCCAAGAGTAAAGGTGTTGGAGTGTTTGGTAATGATGCAAAAGATACAAATATTCCTGTGGAAGTGTGGAGATATTACTTACTGACTAACAGGCCTGAGGTAACTCTTTGCTGCCAGATTATCACAGTTTGCGTTCTTTCTTCCCTCCTTAAAATTGTATATCATTTTGGTACTTATTCACCAAATCTGATGGGTTCGATGATTTCTCTATCTAGGTCTCTGACACACAATTTACATGGGATGATTTGCAAGCAAAATTGAACGGCGAGTTGCTGAACAATTTAGGCAACTTCATCAATCGTGTTCTGAGTTTTATCGCTAAGCCTGCAGGTTGGTTGTTTGATGTATTAGTCTTTTTAAGTGCATATGTCAAACTCAAGTTATCGCTGTTTACTCATATTGAAACAGATCAATTTGTTTGCAAGTAAGAAATTTTCTGGAGATGAGAAATTATGGGTCATTGTTGCCTCGTTTTAGTGGATTGATTTTCTGTTTGCAACTTGCAGTCAGCCAAACTAGTATTCATTTGACACATTTGTTAGGCTGACACAAGGCTTTTAATCTGATTCATATCGTGGTAGTACTTGCGTGATCATGATAAATCATAGGGATCAATTGCACACATGCACACAGACACACCCCGCTCATATATGCACTCCACTTTGGTAGCCGATGGTGTATATTCCTTGGCTATTTTAGTAGTCAAATACTTCTGAAGTCGAGAAACAGAAATGAATTTCGGCTCTTCTTAAAAAAAATTCGAGCGTTAAGTTGATGGAAAGATAAATGCAAGTTTTTATGAAACAATAAGAATGTCCTATCACATGTATAGCTTGCTAGACCCCTGGCTTATGCGACTCCAAAAGCTCTCATCTATCTCCCTGGCTCATGTTTCTCTTGTATGTAGTCATATACATGCAATAACACGTGCTGATTATTTTCCGTTCAGGCCAAGGTTATGGATCTGTCATTCCTGATGCTCCTGGGGCTGAATCACATCCGTTGACTATTTCACTGGCTGAAAAGGTTGGAAAACTCGTAGATCAGTATGTTGAAGCCATGGAGAAGGTAAGATTTGATAAACTTGGATCTGGTAAATGGTTGCCAGGGTTGTCATCCATTTTTATACAAATCCCTCATGCTTTTGATGCAGGTTAAGCTAAAGCAGGGACTGAAGACTGCAATGAGCATTTCAAGCGAAGGGAATGCATACTTGCAGGTGATTTTCTCGTCACTTTTAACAAACTATGTTAGCTTTTTTCTCCACTCCTATTCACAACTAAGCTATCTATGGTTTTTACCGCAGGAAAGCCAATTCTGGAAACTTTACAAGCAAGACCAACCTTCCTGCGCAATTGTCATGAGAACTGCTGCCGGTTTAGTAAATATTCTTGCCCGGCTGTTAGAACCTTTCATGCCATCCTTTTCTCGCGAGGTAGGCATACTAACCTTGTTGAATAATTGTTTTCGTAAATTGTGAAATGTTCTTGTTTAATGTAACAGTACGTTGCCTTTTTTGCAGGTATTTAAGCAGCTTAATGTGCCTCCACAATTTTCGCTCTCTGACGAGAATGGAGACATGTTGAAAGCGAGTAAGCCTTGGGAGATTCTTCCTCCCAACCACAAGATGGGCACTCCTCAACCATTGTTCAAGGAACTGGTATATGTCTCTTTCTCACTGTATGTATTTAGAGATAAACTCCAATGATGCGTCATTTCATGGACTGTTAAATGGAATGGTTACACAGAAAGATGAGGAAGTTCAACAATACAGAGAAAAGTTTGCTGGGAGTCAAGACGATAGACGTGTGAGGGAAGCAGAGGCAGCAAATATGGCCGAGCAGCTAAAGAAAACGAAGATATCAGGTAGTATGTTTTCTTTTCTTTTTCGAAATTTTGACACGTTCGGTTTTTTTTTTGTGTACTAACTTGTTAAATTTTTTTAGATGGCAAGAAACAGAAGCCGTCAAAAGCCAGCGGAGAAGCCAAAGCCAAAGCCAAGCCCAAGCCGACTGAAGAACCCGAGATTACCATCACAAGACTCGATATACGAGTTGGAAAGATCGTGAAGGCTCAGAAACATCCTGATGCAGATTCGTTATATGTGGAAGAAATCGATGTCGGAGAAGAGAAACCTCGAACTGTTGTTAGTGGACTTGTCAAGCATATACCTCTCGAGGAAATGCAGGTTTTTGTTCCATCTCTGCTATTAAACATCTTTTTGAGGTTTTATTATATCTTCTCCTAAGCCCTAAAACCTCGGTATTGTTGACAGAACCGCATGGTTTGTGTTCTCTGCAACTTAAAGCCGGCAAAAATGAGAGGAATTCAATCACAAGCAATGGTTCTTGCAGCTTCCAACAGCGATGACAGCAAGGTATACAAACTCAAATTTGTGATCTTTTCCTAAATCTTACTGGGTTTTTGTCATGCTGGCTATTCTCATTTACGGGTTTTATCTGTTTTTCTTTTTTTCGAGTCACTTTCAGGTCGAGTTAGTTGAGCCGCCTGAATCTTCTAAGATCGGAGAGAGGGTGACATTCCCGGGTTTCGAAGGAGAACCAGACGATGTCCTGAACCCGAAGAAGAAAGTCTGGGAGACGTTGCAGCCTGATTTACGCACCGATGACAATCTCGTTGCCCGTTTTAAAGATTTGGCCTTCACCACATCTGCTGGAATCTGCAAAGTCTCATCCATCAAATCTGGCAAAATCAGATAAGAGCTTCTGCAAACATCATCACCATCACCGAGGTTGAACAACCTGATTTCATGAGGAAATAAATTTGAAAGATTGCACATGTTTTGGCTTTTGGTTTCCTGCAACATATTTTGGGAAGAGTTTGCTTTCTGGAGATTCTGTACGTTAGAGTTTTGAGACAATGAGAATTCTTGTTGCATGCATGTCTCAATGCGCTAAATCATTACGATGTCGCCCATATTGACTTAGTAGATGGTCATACTTCCATACATTTCTTCTGGTAACGTATGTGTATTTATACATATATACGCAGACGTACAAAAGAACCCACACAGGTTACGTATAAGGTCAGCTAATATTCTCATGCAAACAGTCAACATTAGTTCAAATGCATACCACGAAGTAACAAAAGATTTGGTCAAGATTTGTCGCAAAAATTATTTCATCTTGGACTGAGATCCATAAAGCGCGTAGAGCTAAAAGCTTTGGTTCTGTATTTGGAGAAGAAAGGAGTCTCTCTCTCTCTCTCTCTCTCTCTCTGACAAGAGGATAAAACAATAAAGGAGAGAACGCAATTTAGAGAGAAGATACGTCGACGATGGCTTCCAAAATCTTCTTCTCAAGTTCGTTATGCTCTACCCACAATGAACTCTGTCTGCGCAATAGCTCTTGCTTCTCTTTTTTATTCTCCTCCCTTGCTCTCTCCTTCATCCTCCAATTCTCCAGCTTCTCCGCTCTCTCTTTCATCTGCAAAAATTTGTTTTTTGAAGATGAACTCTGATTAGTATGGACAAAGGGTTTCCCAAGTGTCTTGTAATATTGCCTGGCGAGATATACAACCTATCATACAGAGAATCTAGGGCAAAAAGGATCAATATTTACCATACACACTTCTAAGACTTGCAGCACATTAAAGCAAATCATGCATTCAGGCAGAACCAAACGTAAACAATACTCAGGCAAGTTCACATCTATGGTTTGCGAGATGAGACAAAGAATATGACCGTTGCTGCTAAAGTCGTCAAAACTTCACTTCACTCCATGTGACAACCAAGAGGCCAACTTTCTAGAGACTCTCCCCAATAGGATAATTGCAATATTTTATGCAAAGCCCAAATCCTAAAAAGGAGGTAAGGAAGGCACTCATTATCCTCAACAGGAAGAACTCCCTCGAGAGGGAAAGATGACTCCAACTTATACGACATGAAAACTCTAAAACATAACAAGGAAATTCCCAAGTTCTCAAGAGTGAAAAAATGGTGTGTTATTTTTCCACATGACATTGAACAATCTGATCCAACCAATCCACAATCCCCAAAACTTTGTAGAATCATCTGACACAATACTTCCAAAACTACTACCTGAGATGAAGTTCTATCACACAACCTATTGAAAGACAAAACTACTTTCTCTTCCATCACAATCCTTGGGGAAAAAATAGTACACACTGATCTTGTATGGGAAGACAAGACCAAATTTCCGAGATGTAGTCTAAAGTCTCAACATAGAAACATCAACAAAAACTCCTACAAAAGCAAAGCCAATGTAAGAACATGATAGTCACTGAGCTCGTCGAAACTTCACTTCATTCCAAGTGAAAGCTTTTACGGTTGTTTGGTTCAAAGGGACTAGAGAGGCATCAATGGGCAACATTTTCTAGGTTCCCTCTCCAATGGGTCAATCATACTATTTTACAGAACTATGAAAACTCCCAGATTCTTCAAGAGGACAAAGTGATGCTTTGTAATGAACAAATCCATAATCCCCAAAAGCATTCCACAATCAACAGTCCACAAAACATGCCTTTGTTCCATCACGATTTCTAAGAACTACAAAACACCATAATCATGGAGATGATGAAAAATCTAAACGTACCAGTGTTTTCCGGAATTCTTCCTCGGCGATCTTACGCTCCTCAGCCCTCAACTTCGCTGCCTCAACCTTCAATCTCCGACGCTCCTCATTGGCGACCCGCATAGCCTGCATACGAGCCTCTTCCTTGCGCTGCTTCTCAATCCGAAGCATCTCCACTTCATGGATATACTCCTTGCGAACAGCTTTCACCTTCTTCGCATAGTCTCTCCGAAGCTGCGCAAGCCTCTTCTGCGCCTCCTCAGGATCCGTCGGAGCCTTCCAGCTTCCGATGAAGCACTCTGGCTCCAGAAACTTGTGCGTCTCCTGGTGGTGCCTGTGGTGAGAGATCTCAGCAGAGAAGGGCCTCACGGCTTGGTTCGTATGGCGGCCTGAGAGAGATGAACGAAAGGAACCGAGAGGGCTGAGCTTGTTGAAGAACGACGCCATTGTAGTTACCTGCTTCCGTGAAGATCCATGGATCATACCAAGAGACGCCATTTCGAACCTTTAGGGTTTTGAGGTTCCTCGGGGTGTCACCGCTCCACGCGCTTTTAGTGCGCGTGTGATTGTATTTGGGCCATTAATATTTTTTTGGCATTTTATTGGCCCATGTTTATATCTTTTCAGCTTTTCTTTGGTCATAAATGGGCTTTTTCTATTAGCCCACTATGGATTTGAAACTGAACAATCTTGTTGCTATTATAACACATCTAACCAAACCCAATAACTATTAATCTTCTTGTATGGGCTTTTTCTATTGGCCCATTTTTATCTTTTACTTTTATGGGCTTTTTCTACTGGCCCGCGTATGACTTGAAACGAAACATATTAATGATGAGTCTTGCTACAGACCTTTTATGAGCTTTTTCTATGGGCCCATGTTTATATATATTTTCCAATAATGGGTCATTTATGGGCTTTTCTACTGGCCTACGCTGATTTTAAAAAATCTAGACCATTAATCTTTTAGGCCTTTTATCGGCCTTTCCTATTGGCCCATGTTTGTGTATTTTCATCAATGGGCTTTTTCTATGGCCTACACAGTTGAAACTAAACACCACTGTAAATTTTGGGTTTCGGTTCGGATTCCACCGGTTATAGAAAAATTATAATCATTCTTTTTTAATATAAATTTTGATTCTTGTTTTTTGATTTTTTCCCTATAAAAAACTAATTTTTTAAATAAATTATCAGTTTTTTCAATTACTTTTTTAATCAATTCGATTCGATTTCAGTTTTTTCAGATTTAGAGAAATCATAACCGTTTAGTTTTAATATCGGATTCAATTCGGTTATGGTTATAATTGATTCGATTCAGTTGGATTATTCGGTTAGTAACCAAACGACCAACCCTACTAAACATAATAGATGAATCTTGCAATCGACTACAATGTATCTAAACTTAAAAGACCATGAAGTGGGAGACTACCAAAAAAAAAAAAGAGGTGGGTTACACAATATGGTTTTTTTTCATTACATACTAAAGTCCATCTTTTCATTAGATGAACTGTTTCAGAAACTCAGTAGCCACGAGTCTTCCTCTTGTGTTCACCGACATCTTCAACTCGCTTATCTCTTTGTCTATATCCTGCATTTATTCACAGAACAAGCAAGAACAATGTCAGATTTCAAGTTCATAACTCACCACTCTCACTGTCTTCAAGAGAAAGATCGAAACATGTCGATGATATATGATGGAAATCCAAAGTGAAAACCTTTGAGGAAACCCATCACAAGCAGGAAAAAACCACAAACCATTAAAGCTTTGTGAATAAACTTGGGAGTGGAGAAATAAATACTTGCCTCCATAAACCGAACGATGAAATCAATCAGCTTCTGCTTCTGCATCTCCTCGCAGTGGTAGTTTGTTATAAGAAAGCTAATGTCATAGCCCTGTGATTAACAAAAGATGACATTCAACTGTGAGTAGGATGTGGCATTATGCATTAGATTTAGTAATTTGGTAACTGTAAAAACGGAATTTCTAAAGCGGTGAGGATTTGAGAAGCAAATTTCTTACATCATTTTGTTTTTTGGGTAAAGGGTAAAAAGTGAAAAAAAATTCACATGCACACCTGCACCGGTTTCCTCCGTAATACTTGAAAAGCTTCTGCCCTCATGGACAAAAATCTGAGGAACTTCTTTGTTAGAATGTTTTCGAGCTCATCCGCTTGCTTCACCTGCACAGTCGCGATAATGGACTAATTAAGGAGGAAGCAAGAGAATTGGGGTTATGGTTCTTGAAGATATTCCATTATAATATAAGAAAGCATCTTAGATATAAGATTCATGATCACCTTGAGGCTTATACGGAGTGAATTTATAGAGGTTTCAATCAAGCATTTCTCAGCCTCATTCCGACATATCAAAACCTGAAATTTGCAATAATTTCACATGAGTCAAAATATGAAACTTATGGAAATGGAAAGATAGAAAAATCCACATAAGTTGCTGACTTGTGAGAGAGGCTAAACAATCTGAAAAGATAAGGCTGCATGTGAAGTCTTCATTCATAAATTAACATAAGCATCTTTCAGGCTTGCATGATTTTCTATCCTTTCGAAAAGTAGCAATATGGTTAGCATGTAATAGAAGCATTGACATTTTCAAGATTTATTTGACAGGAACATCATAAGATTCATCCTCCTAACAACATTATGGTATCAATAGAATCCAATTAAATAGAGGCTTTAAGGTTGCTCTTAGAGAAGCCAAGATTCCAAGAACATAGGGGCTGTCTCGGTTATCAGGAACACAAGAGGCGCAACATAAGAACGAGGAGAAAACAAATACGTAAGCAAAGCCAAAAGCTGAGAGAGAAAATTCTTACGGGATTTAGCAGAAGTTCTGGGCTGGTCCTGCAAAAATTAGCAATAAGATTGGTGGGAATGAGATCCTACTACTCGAAGTGAGATATCACCAACAAGAACAAATATAAGAAGACTGCAGCAAATACAGTATGCTTTTTCAGTCTATTTAAAACACTTTGGCATGGGAAATATTAGTAGATAAACTCAGTAAAGGCAGGCCATTCTCACATTCATTTTCTCATAAGATGCTTACATACTTTAGTTCAACCTCCGGTTTATTGTGCCTTTCAACTTCTTGACAAGGAAAGTTCTGCAGATCACAAAAAAAAAAAAAAAGGTTTCACGCAAAAATACCCACTACTAGAACAGGAACGAAATATGTAGCTTTCCCCATTTAACATCAGAAACTAGAAGACAAAATGGCAGAAGCAAAAGTGAACCATGGTACAATTAAACCTAAATTACCACATACAAGGAAGCAAACAAATAAAATGTGCATAACCAACTGAAGTAGCAACATGAGTGAGATGGAGCAGAATTTTAAATCCTTCAATATCTAAAGTATAATTAGCCCCAAAAATTGGAAACTTCGACATCTATGCAACAATAATTGGAATCGAAAATCATCCCTACCTGTAAGCACATGGCTGCCTCAAGTGTATTCCTTATGCATGCCAGATACAGCCTTAATGAGCTTGCCTGAAACAACGAAGATCCAGCCGGAGGATGTTATTCGAACAGTTAACAAGGTAAGTTAACATGCAGTAGAGTTGTCGTTGGACATTGTAATCTTTGATCTAGAAATGATCAAATTAAACACAAAGTGTAGAAGGTCGGTTGGTTCCTAAAACTTCTATTTTGGTATTACAAGTAAAAATGTACAATTATAAAGCCTCACAGGTTTTCATATATTACACTTCAGTATGAGCTTAGGTATTTGCCTAGGCAGTTAACAAAGCAAAGTGCAATCAAATGCCAAAATACTGAATTACTTCTTTCGAACAGAGGAGGTAAGGCGGAATTATATTCCGTGGTCTTACCATTTCAATGTACCGCTTGGCGAGAAGTTTCTTTTCCCCGGAACTGGAACTAGATTTGGACTTTTCCTTTTGATGAATCTTTCCACTGAAAAAGAAATCCAGAAGAAAATCCAAACATTTGCAAAAAAAGGCACCATTAGAGTGACATTTTCAACCAAATCATCTCACAACCCGAGTAAACTTTCACAAACAATTCGTAAGCAACCCATGAAAGGCCCTCAAATCCAGATATTTTCCAAAAAGCTTTCAAACATTCTTAACCATAAATACAAGCATCAGTATCCAGTACATCCACATTAAACAAAAAGAACAAAATGAAAGACCAGACAGTCAAATACAAGCAAAACCCAAAACCCAGCTCAAAAGACAACAAGAGAACTAAACCCAGCTCAAATGTTCCACCTGATATGAAAATGAAGAAACTTTACCAGCACAATCAATTAATCAACAACGCAAGCGGAATAGAACACACTCAAGGGTACGGACGAAGAACAAAATCAAGGATCTAAAATCCAATTATCCATGATTAAACCCTCGAGAGAAACATCTGATAATCGGAAAATTTTTCTGGTGAAATTTGCACCAAAACTGCCAAAAATGAGAATCGGCGAAATTCGGGTGGAGCACAGAAATTCGAAGATGACAGTAAAAGATCAAACATTGAAACTGAAATTCCAAAAGATACACACAACAATCATATCAATCTCTCCCAAGATTACAAGACAAACAATTCGAATTCGAATCAGATCAAAGTGGCAAAGGAAATTGCCTCACCAGACAGCACAAAATGAAGCACGATAGAAATCCAACAGCCGAAAAGGTCTCAGATCTTTGAAAAGGCTCAACGCCAAATCCCTCCGCTCTTTGGCTTTTAGCCACCGATACCGCCACCAGTACGCCACAGAGAGAGAGAGAGAGAGAGAGAGAGAGAGAGAGAGAGAGAGAGAGGTTTCCTTCTTTTTTTGGTGTCACAGAGCTATATTTCTGGTTAAGCCGGTTAAGCGCCGGTATGGCTTTGGTACTTAGCTTTTGGTTTAGAATTTCGTTTTGTCATTTTAAATTTTACGGATATTATATTATATTAATTGTTTTTATTTTATAAATTTATAACTTGTAATTATAAATCAGTGAATGAATTCGAATTCATTTTTTTTATTATGAAAGTCAAATAAAAAAAGGGTCACTGTCATTACCAATTTACCTAATTATTTTAGTGGGTATCTTTCTTTCTTTAGAAGACAAGAACTAGCACTTGTGAGTTTTGCAATAACATCGGAAAAACAATGAGTTCTTATCTTTGAAGAAAAAACACAAACCATTGCCTTATAACATACAATTACAAGCAAAGGTATGGACATGGACATGCACATGTCCATTGTCCAATAGTATTCATCCATAACCATATATTAATACAACCCACCATTGACATAGTCATATAACCTAAAGTTTCAAACTTTCAAACTCCATCGTAATTATTTCATGCCCCCATCTCTACATATCCAAAAGGGCATTTTCTTATGATTGTGTTTGTTAAAATTTCCTATGCACCAACTTATACGCTATTAATTGGATGATGATTAAAAAAAATAAAAAAGTGGCACTCTAGATTTTGATTTAGATCATGAAATAACATTTCGTAATCGAATTCCGATCACCGAAGAAATTCGAATACACAATTCCAAGCAACCAAAGGAAGAATTATAGACAGAATAAGCGTAAGAGAAACCCTAACCGATCAAAGCAGAAGATATTATATATTCTATAATTCTTCGCAAGTTCGAAGGCCTTTCTTCTTCTTCTATCTTCGACGATGAATGTAATGGTTTCTTTATGATGGAAGAGATGAGTTAGAAATCTCCGAGAAAGATGTTGTAAGAAATATAAATGAGATAAAGAAGAAAAGAGTTGGAGAGGAGGAAGAGATAGGAGTACGGACATAGAATGATAACAATCAGAAACAAGACAAAACATATTGTTCTGCATGACATTTTCTTGTATGGAAACTTATCTTTAGATAGAGTTCTCTCTTAATATATATATATATATATA